ATTTTATTAATTAAATTAAATGTTTATTTTTATAAAATATTAACTTTATTTCTTTTATTTTTTATAGGGTAATGTTAGAAAAAGGAGTACCAAGAGAAACAGTGGAATCAGAGTACCGAAAATATATTCCTAAAGAATGTATAAAACGTCATGCATTTTTTATTAAAAAGCCAATCCATAATGCTCTTCGTAAAATATCTGGGTATGATGCAAATTATGTTAAGGAACAATATTTAAAACAATTTGAATGCATGGCACCAAATTATCCATATGAAGAGTATGAGGCTTTAATGGATAGAGATCTACAAAATCCCCCAGCAAAAGTGACTTTAAGAGTCAATGTAGATGAAGTGAAATATTGTGAAACAATTGCTACCTCGTGGACTACATTGTGTGCCATTGAAGATTTATGTTTTGTTTCTATAAGGTCTAAATTTAATTACCAAGTATTTTTAAAGAGAAATTTTGAATGTAATTTTTATTTTTTAAGTACAACTTAAAATTTTTTTTTATAACAGAATTATGTTATGTAATATGTCAAATTGAGTTGTCAACTTTTGAAAGACATTTCTTTAGTTATTCAATATATAAATAAAATTTTGCTAACAAAGTAAGTTTACTGTATCATAAAAATGTGTTTCATATGCATTTTAATATTTAAAGATTAGAAAATGAAAGAAATTTTTTAAATAATAATGGGTTCAATCTCATATCTGGACCATTCTTCATCTCCTATATTTGTACTCTTTATTAAAGAATTAAAACTACTTTGTTGAGCAATAGCAGGATATTTATATTGTTGAAATTAAATTATTTGGCTGTACTTGCTTTATTGTGTATTTTTTATTTACACATAAAAGTTGTGTCCATAAATATGCATACTATAAAATGTATAGAAAGTCACATTACTTGTTTCTTTCTTTTTATAATTTAATACCCTTTATATTATAATAGTCTAGGATTAAAAAAGAATTATATAATTGAATTTAATTTAAAGCTACTATGGTCCTCCAATAGAAAAGTTGTTTAATTAAAAAAATTAAGAGTTACGTTCAAATCACTAAAGTGACTTTCAAAAAGTTTTGTGTAATCAGTTATATCTCGTTTATTACATTATTTAATTTTTAGTTGTTAAGTTTGACATTTATATTTAAAATTATAACTTTTAGATAAAGTAATAATTAATGTTTATATCTACTCACATTATTCCTATCTATAAATTTTAACAATGTTATACTATAATTAATTCTTTTTAATACTTCTGTTATTTTGTAGGCAAGATAATACAGTAGAAATATCGAGAAAAAATGGTATACCTTCATACCTAAAATTTTCAAAAAATACACTTTTAATGTCCTTTGTTTCTGCATTGGATGGTTATTATCGTCTAGCAGTTAAATGGACATTTAATTTATGTGGCGAAATTGTGACTCCTTCTTTGGAAAGATTACATAAATTAAAATGTCATGGTCCTGTTGGGTAAGACTTTTTAATTTTATGTTTGTAGTATAATATTCTATAAAACCAATTATACAAATATCACATGACTAAGATTTTATTTTAGACAAGAATTTTCATACGCAAAACTTCAACAAAAACGTGCTAATAAGCCGGGTTCCTATCTACTTAGAGAAAGTGAAACAGAATATAATGTATATTACCTAGATGCATGTAATAAAGAGGGAAAACTATTTTCAAAAAGGATAGAAGAAAGAATTTCATCGGATGATTTCCTCATTACGGGTGTACCTGGTCGGTACAATTCGTTGGCACAATGTGTCGCATCTTTCCAAGATCCTAAAGGACAATCATATCTTTCAGAATGCTTACCACCTTCAGAATATGGTAAATTAAACAAACTTTTAAACTTCTTGCTCTAATTTCCATTTTTAATGAGCTTCTATTAGTGCTAGTAAATTATAAATTATAAAAATAATTTAATCTTT